GGAGAGCCAAGTCAAACAGTAATATGAAATTAAATTGTCAAACAATTTGCCGCTGCATTTGAAATGCTTTATTTAATTAATGCGAAATGAGTGTGAGCACTGTGAGCTCCACAGGGAGGTAGTGGAGAGTCCGAGAGAGGACTGAGAGTGACGCATAGAGCAGCTGCTGCTGCCATCTCAGCTGACCACCCGGTTTTTTCTGTTGAGATAATCGAGGAAAACGTGCCAGAAGACAGATAAATGTGGCAACAATAAAAAAAAATCGCTACCACCACGCAAGTGAGAAGTGGAGACCAGAATGAGAGAACGCGAGTGCGAACGGGAGAGAAACTAAACCAGGTCTGCAGCCGGCAATGCAAATCAATCAAAGCCGATGGAAGTTAACGTTATTGCATTTGCCACACGCAACAACAAATACAACAATTTAACTTCCACAAGCCTAATTTTCAGCAAATCTAAAGAAATCTCGCCTCCGTAACTATAAGTTGTGTTTTTACGCTAATGGAAATTACATCCATAAATCTAATTTTCTACATACAGTGGGCACTTTGAGGAGTTTACAACTGTATTATCGTTTCGCTACAACCAAAATATTCTGGAAAGATAAAGTCAATGTGGGAGCTAATGTTAACTATAACCCGTAATTCTTATAGATCTTCAACAAATTTATAATATCGAAACGTTTTCGTAAGAAAATGTTATACGCGGTTAGTCAGTTCAAAGAAACTCCACTGTGGTCTTAGAAAATAACAACAAACACACACATTTTCCACCATTATCATCAAAGCAGAGCGCGTCTTGGATGTTGGAAAATGGCAAACATTTCAGCTAATTGGCTGGCATCGCAGGAGGGAGCGAGATGGAGATCATAAGTAAGAGAGAGACAAAGTGATGGCTGAGCGGCATTTGTTCAATTAGAACGTAAACTGTTTATGAAAACGGGACTGGAGGGGGCTGTGTACGGATAGAGGAGAATAAAAACGAAGTTGGCGTGAAATAGGAGAATGGAAAATTGCAAAACTAGGAAAATGAGAAGAAGAAACAAATAAGTAGAAAGCCTCAGAAAACATTGCAATGCAACAAACTTAAGAATCTTTTTAATACTCCTTATTTCAAATATTTCTAAGAATTCAAAAACTATCAGGTTTCCGACAATTATTTCGGTGTATCTAACAGATACAAAGATATGCCATAGTCAAAATCTAAGTATTCAACAAAATTAAGGTCTTGCATCTAATTATTAATTTACATACATAGGAAGTAACAAATTGTAGACCTTTTTAATTCTTTTCAAAAAAGTCCAACCAGTAAAGGAGGACAACAACAATGCTCGAAAAGCTTCTTAACAGAGATGTTCCAATTAGGAAACCCATTATCCAACCAGAAAACGCAAGCGGAACGAGGGAAAAAAGCTGCGCTCAAAATCAGATGCCTCACACAGAGACAAATTCACACACACACACATACACAAACTCAAATCATTACGCGCAGGAAAAGCAAAAAAAAAAAGAAAATACAGGGCGCGGGAGGGAAAAATGGGTGGACTGGATGAGGATGGGAATTGGCGGAGGATGAGTAAGAACAGCCACAGCAGAGACAACATGAAAGAATCGCAAGTAATAAGAACACCGCACAGAAGACGAAGAAGAAATAGGAAACAGAGGAGGAAGCCGAATGCGCCACATGCAGGGCAACAACAACAAAGTAACGCAAGTGAAACAATAACCAAAGCCAAACACAAAAAAAAAAAACGAAAAAAAAGCACGGAGGCAAGTAGAAGAATCATCGTCGCACCTCTCGTTCTCTCCCTCACTCTTCTACTCCCCTTTTCAATCTATTCCATTCCATTCCGTTCCGTTCCGCCCGGCTGTTAAGCGCAAATCAATGACCTACGACATCAACAAGAGCGCGTCAAACACACGCAGCCCCCACCATGAGTGCAAGCGAGAGCGAAGAGAATGGAGGAGAACGGCAAGATACACATAGTTCTCGAAGCTGGATGGGAGAGAAAATAAGAAGAAGAAGAATAGAGGTGCGAGAGGGAGAAGTATAGCACGTGGCAAGTGCGGGGGAGTCAGAAAAGGGGAGGGAGATATCATAATCATGGAGTTTTGCTAAAGTTGCCTTTGCTGGAATTCGTTATCGTCCACAAAACAAGTATATTCCAACTACAACTTCCTCGTGGAAGAATTTACAAAGGTTGAATCTATGAATTTTTTACAACTGTGTAAATGTTATATACAAAATTATAAAAATATGAATAAATATAATGAAATTATTTGAAAAGAAGAATATAAAAAAAAAATTGAAAATTTTTTTCCTGCATTGATCGAATCAGCTGTAAATGCTGATCAAGAATATACCAGCTTCTGACTAAAATTATAATAGCCTAAAAGGGTATAAAAAGTATATAACGTTCTTACAACAAAATTTAGTATAGATTAAGCTATAGAAGATTCTTCTAGCGAAACCATTCTAAAAAATTTCCTAGATTTACCACAAATAATAAAACAAATTGTAATTTCAACTATTTGGTTAAGTTAGATTTCAAAGTAACTACCAAGTAATGTATACCGTGTGGATTGAAAAAAATCTAGTAAGTTGTATGAAAAACAAACTAGAGTAACAGCGCCAGACATTAAAAGGTAGAGAGAAATAAGAGAAATACGAGAAAAGCAAGAGGACCGGACAACAACATAAACTTAGCTGTGCTAAAGCTCTCTTTTGGCATGACTTTAGCTTTCCATTCTTCCTTTTTTTTTGCATGGCGAAGGAACAACGGACGAAGGAGCAGAGGACGAAGTTACTTTTTGTTGTCGTCCTATCCTGCTTGGGGGTCCTTCTGTTCCGTTTCTTCTGCTTCTTCTTATGCCTCCTGCCGCTTGCATAAATGCAATAAATATTCGTCTTCCTTTTATTCAGAGCCTGCCTTTGGTGTTTCTTCGTTCTTGGTTCTCAGAGAGAGAGAGAGAGAGACAGAGAGAAGACTGCACAATGTATGCACAAAAGGAAGTTGTGGCAAAGAAATATGTTGAAAAAAAAAGGGGGACACGAATTAAGACAAAATACGAAGAACTTGGAATACACTTCATGGGGAGTGAAATAAATAAATTTAAAAATTTGTTGCCATAAAAAAAATAACAAAAGGATGATAAAAGGATATATATAAAAAAAATACAGCTGGTTTAATCTTTTGTAATTAAACGTAGGTAAAGTATTTGCAAAAAGCTCCCCTAAAGTTCCAAAGTATGACTTATCATCACTTTTAGAAAACAAATTTTAAGGAAAGTGTATCTAGAGTTCGACTTGATAAGAAACATATCCACTCGACAATTTGCTTGATAAAAGCATAATCGATTGTGAGCCAACAGTCCGACACTTGTATGTGTTTGCAAAGGAAGTGAAAAGGAAATTGCAGGGCAATGCGACACAGCAAAGGAATCACCTGGCTAGAACAGGTGAGAGAGGTGAGCATAAGGCCAGACGACGGGTGAAATTCTTTAATTAAAATTGCTTTTCCTATAAACAATTGTGACATAAGATGGAGAACTTCTTCAGCATCATCATCAGAGCTCATTAGGTCCCTATCGCAGTATTCGTATTAAATTCTTTCACTTGTTAAATTCCGACAAGTTGTTGTTTCTGGCTTAAATACCAGTGGCAGTAGTCGTCGTCGTCGTCGTTGAGTTCTCAAGCCATCAGATTTTGCGGACAGACAGGTGAGTGGTGGTAGTCTCAGGTGTGCGTGTGTACTGTGCTGTGGTGTATTTCCGAGGCATGTGTGCAATGTTCTGGCTTTATAAGGCTGAAAAATTGCAACCGGACTGGGATCTATCCATGTATCTCATCCGACCCGCCCCGTTCATCTCTTCTCGCCTATATTACCACATTTATCTCCATTAGCAAGCCGAGGCAAAGACATGTAATAAAGCAGCAAAGCGCAGCACAGAGGAACAAAGAATGAAGAGCCAGCGAAAAGAATGGTAAAAGTAGCTAAATATTATGGTAAAATCTTCAACAATTATGCCTTATCTCGTATACAAAGATGAGGTGAGATACAAAACAACAAAGATAAACAACTCTATAGAATCTCATTAAAATATCTTTAAGTTCATAAATGAAACTATTGCTTTTCAAACTTGAAAATAAACAATGACTTTAAAAAATTGTATAGGTTCTTGGAAAATAATGCCTAACCCTTAAAGGTCTATAAGAAAACAAAATAGAAAGCCATCAAATAAAAGTTAGGCAATGAAAGCGGAAAAACTTTTAACCAAAGTGGAAGTATAAGAGGAAAACCCATAAAACGCCAACCAACAACAAGAAAAATTATTGATTAACCTGACAAGAAAATATCATCAAATGAAATTGAATGGTTAAAGTTTCGCCCTCTTTATTTCTCTCTTTGGAAATAAACTTTCGATTTAAACATGTAAAAGTCCTATTAGGACCACTTTGCTACAACTATAACTATTTTGTTGAGTTGGTTTTAGCTGAATTTTAGTTACAATAAACGTCAAATAATGAGACAGATGCGGGTAATGATAATGATCTATAAAGGTTATTTACTGCCCCACAAAAACAAAAAAGAAGGCGGATGAGTCACCTCAAAGTTACAGGATAGAAACTAATAATAATTTCTTCAAATTACTGTAATTTTAAGATTAACTTTATATATATTTGATCAACTAACCTAACCCCATCATTAACAACAATTAGCATTCTGTATGTGAACAAATAGTATCGATTGATAGCCAAACATGGCAAACCAATTAACGGGTAGCAGGGCTTATCAATGGCCCACTTATCGATTTAATCAAAGGTAAATCCAATACCCGAGTGACATTTTAACAGAAACTAAGCTAACCAAGCAAGGTATTCTATTGACACCGAACAACAGAAGACCTAACAGAGGGACCAATCCTTTTCCAACTCAAATAGCAAAGGATCTTTCAAACTTATCCTAGACTGTTATAAAAAGATTATTTTTTTGAACTCACCGCTGCATTCCGATTGGCGGCCGCAACGACAGAGCTGTTCATATACTGATTCTGTGGCGGCATCATTGCCGCACCCATCGGCACCGTCGTCTGGCCACCCATGTAGACATAGTCCTGCGGTCCCCCGGCTCCAGGAGGTGGTCCTAGAGGTGGCTTTGGCATTCCACCATTCATTCCCGGGTGCATGGCCCCACCATGATGATCGTACATATTTCCGCCCGACTGGGCATAGGATGACATGTGACCCATGGCAGCGGCATGGCTGAGCAGGTTCGAGTTGTACTGCCCGGGATGCTGTTGCTGCTGCTGCTGCTGCTGCTGCTGTCCGGGATGCTGGATGCCCAGGCCATTGCCATTGCCCATGCCATTGCCGCCGCCCATCATGTGATGTGGATGACCCTGGTTCTGGACCTGCTGCTGCTGCTGTTGCTGCTGCTGCTGCTGTGGATGCGGCGGCTGTTGCTGGTGCTGTTGATGCTGCTGCTGTTGGGCTGCAACGGCAGCCGCTGCCTGTGACATCATGTGATTGTGCTTGGCCACCGCAGCGGCCTGCTGCATGGCAGCCATATTGGCAGCCGCTGCTGCCATCGATGGATGATGGAGTCCACCGTTTGTGCCGGAGCCACCGTTGTTACCAGCTCCGCCACCGCCGCCCATGCTGCCCAATCCGCTGCCCATGCCAATGGTTCCAATGGCCCCGGGGCCACCATTGCTGCCACCACCAGGCGGTCCGCCAGGAGCTGCGTTTGCTGGATTCATTGGCGGATTGTATTTCCATTTGTCCGGATTCTGGAATATGAGAAAAGTCAAACAGATTGTTAGCTAGGAAAAGCAATCTTAAATAGTGATAAAAGAGCTGTTAAATCCTCAAAATCCTTCAAACTGCTTCGTAAAGGCTTAGCTTAAAACAAAGCCCAGGCTTATTTTCTTTAAAAATGTTTACTTAATCTCTGATTTTCCTGCACAATAATCCTTGCACCTTCTTCTTCCTTTCATTGGCAACTGTCTCAATGCCAGATTGTAATAATCTGTTTATGCAACCATTTTTGGCAGACAGAGACCTTAGAAACTTACACAATCCGAGGAGGTCAAACTAAAGCTGTGGGGGAATCCCAAATTACCCCTCTCTTAAATGGAGAAGCCACAAAAAGTAATCAAGAAGGAACACAACGCAAAACAAATACTAGAGAAAATATAGAACCTTCAAATTATGCTAATTGTGCATGAAAATTGCAATCGATTTTATACACTTTGTTCAGTGGAAGTTTTTTATGGATAACTGTACAAAAATGAAATCTGATAACTAACTTAAACATTTAACTAAGAAATAGTGGATTTAAAAGGTATTTTAACCTGTTCTAACTAGTTTTGTCTGTAGTTTATGGGTCTGGTAATTATATATACTTACATCCATGCCATGTCCATCATCGCCGCATGCCCAACGTGTCTGTTGTTGTTTCTGGGCAAAGTGGGCTGCATATTCGGCAGCGGCGGCCTCGTGCAAGGTCGAGCCGACGGCTCCAACACCGGGCACTCCCTGACCGCCACCCACGCCCACCGCTCCCGGTGAGGGACGTTGCTGGAAGACATAGCCAACGGCAGCGGCTGCGGCAGCACCGGCTGCATCAGCAGCATCCTGGGAGACGCCACCGCGAGATCCTACCACAATGGCATCCGTGCCGGCACCAACGCCGACGCCTCCGCGGCCATTGCGATCATCGTTGCCACCCAAAAACTTCATGTGTTGCTGCTGGTTGTGCTGGTGTTGCTGCTGCTGCTGCTGGTGTTGCTGGTGAAGTTGTTGAAAATAAGGCGGTGGCGGACCGTAATGTTGCTGCTGCTGCTGCTGTTGATGTTGCTGGTAGAGCGTTTGCTGCTGCTGCTGCTGCTGCTGCTGCTGATGTTGTTGCTGCTGCGGCGAAGGCGTCGATATAGCGATTGTGGGCGCGGTTAGGAGCTCAATTTTGACGGCTTTTCCTAGCTATCGCAGCTGACAATTTTGCGCGTATTGCCAACTGTGATTAATAGCTACACTTTTTGATTTATTTAGAAATCACCATAAGGAAAGCTTCCTTTTCTTTTCAAAATCTTCACAATGTCACGCGCGATTTTCAACTCCGGAAACGAACTATTCACAAATGGTTGTTTTTTTTTAATTGGCTTAATTTTCTCTCAAATTTTCACGTGTTTGTTGTCGTAGAGAAACCGCACTTTATTCTTAATATATTTAACATTAATTTACAGGATTTTCGGGAGATTTTTCTTTCAATCACTTTTTGCTCAAAAAAATTATTTTTCTGGTTTGGTTTGGTTGTCGTGGTTGGTTGTTGTTGTTTTTTTTTACATAAATTTACACAAAATTATGAATAATATTTTACACAGTTGCACAGTTGCGTTTTTTTACGGGACTTAAAAACAAAACTGAACTTTACTATATAATTACGTATGAGAATTGGTTAAAATTTGAATTTTTACAGATTTATTTTTGAGAATTGTTGAAATTTCCGGTTTTTTAATGTAGTTGTTTATTAATTATAATTAGGATGAATTTTAATTTACACGACGTTTTAATGATGAAAATATACACAAACTGTAAAGAGAAAATGATGAAGTGTGATTAATATTTTTTTTTAATAATTCACAGAAACTGTTATTTTTTAAAGTAATATTGGACTCAATTATATAAAACCCACTGTACTTTCTGCTCATAAAATCTTTGAGCTGGTCATGGTAAAAGTAAAAGAATGGAATCCGATAACGTCGACGGCAGACAGGGCGCATAATAATCAACAAAATAAAGCGCACAAGGGGCGAAGGCGAATAAAAACAAAGCGAATTCTTCTAAGACTGAAGGAAGACCAAGACAAATACTAGCTATGAATTTCCTCATTTCGAAAACAATAACAAAGTCTGTCTAAAAGGCGAGTGGGTTGAAGCGGGGGCGGACTGCTTTTGAGGAACAGGAGCCACAAGACAAAGTAGAAGAAGAATTCTATCCGTAGAAGAACAACGCACAGCTGAATCATCCGCGAAAAATAGGGAAAATAAAATAAGTTCACCTATGTTAACAGATGATCGAAGCACCAGATACTCTTAAAGATATCATCGTTGAAATTGTAAAAAATTTACGAAAAATATTGATATTCTTTAATTTAAAATTAAGAAAGGATGATAGGAAAATTTTTCGACTTAAAATTAATGCTATTTTGATTGAGTTATGATTTTTTTTAATTTGATTTGACGAAATTGTTAAAAAAAATATATATATATATATAAAATATCGATTCAAAGATTGCTAATAATTTAAGCTTAGTACTTATCGATTTTCCATTCGATTCTAAAATTCCATTGCAAACTTTAAGAGTATATAAACTTCAGCTTAGTTTTCTTTCTCGATTTATACAAGTTAAATTGAACATTTTTAAAAGCTCATTTTGCAGCTGAGACAATACTAATGAATAAGCCTTCAATTTTATTAAAATGATTACCTTTCACGGAATATTCATTCTTATACATTTGTTTTGACAAATAACGGATAGAAAATATAAAAATATATTTTATATATGCAGGAATTAACAAACAATAATAGAAAATAAATAGATATATGCAAAATCTATTATTTTTTTGTTTTTAATTAGAGAAACACTGATAGCGACTAATAACTGGGAATTTTCGTAAACTTCTGGACAGAATTATGACACTCCCCCCAACCCCAGCCAAGGGAAGTGAAAAGCGCAGAGACAGCGGCTGAAAAGTAAAAGAGCTAGGGGGCGGGGCGCACAGAGAGGGAGGTTGAAAATGGAAAACACATAAAATTAACATACACACAGAACATTGTACAAGAACAAGAACAACAACAACGATGCCGGCAGACGATGAACGAATGGCGAAGAAAACGAAACGAAACAAAACGAAGACGAAAGGCAGGCAAAGACGGCCGCAACATTTGAGGTTAAGTTTTGTGCGAGAAGAATGCGAGAATATGTCTGTGGGTCGGTTTTTCTTCTTATTTTATTTTATTTTTTTTTACTTGTTTACGAGAATCTCCTTATTCCTTGGTGAAGAAGTGAGAGCGAGCGAGCCAGAACGAACAAGTGCAGCATGCGAAAAGAGACAGAGAGAGACCCCTGGAAATCCGCACACACACACACTCACGCGCACTCAGGAATATAAAAACAAACATAAAGATAAACCATAAAAGAGACATGTGAAAAACAAAGGCACAAGGAGCCGAAAGGCGTAGCGGGCGGGGGCGTGGCACTTTCCCTCCCCTGGTCGCGCTCAATGAATAATTAAACGAATTATTAAATATTTCAGTTAGTTAACCTTGCGTGTGTGCGAACGAGTGTGTGATAATACGGTTGTTATGCGTTCTTATTGGGAAAAATTCGTGTGTACAAATGCAAGGCGTCCCGAGAGAGAAACAGAGAGCGCACGAGAATTGTGCAAATGTAAAGCGAAGGAGGAGAAGAAGGAAGCAGTGGCAGAAGAAGAAGCAGAGCAGCCAAATGGCCGCCGCTGACAAGGAAGAAAAATGATGGAACAAGGCAACAAGGCGAAATAATGAAACACACAGCACACACACACACACACACACACACACACACATGCACAATCGGAAAACTCAAATGTTTAACCGAAAAAGAAAATGCACATCTATTATTCAGTTGCCTCCTTAATTGATTTTTACCATTTCGGGTAGAATGCTATGTAATTTTGCAAACTATTTTTATGCACAAAAGTATAAATATATGTAAAAAGCGGTCTGGAAATACACACACACACATACACAACACACAGGCGGCCGCCGAAGTGGAAAAGGAAACCCGATGATGACAATGTAAAACGAGGCAGAAGGAACGGAGCACACGGGCAAAAATTAATACGAAAAAAAAAAACGTTCGCGTCGGAAAAAAAACTTTTTTTCGTATTATTCGTTTTCGATTTTCGTTTGTTTTCAAGGAGCACTTACACATGCACTTAAAAAAGCATTCGCGATGCGCTTGGATTTCCTTTTAATGGTGTGTGCTTTCGTATTTAATTTAGATTATTTAAATTACAAGTATTTACACAGGATGATGAAGAAGTCGGCTAGAATTCTTCAACCCGTCGCCGCCGTCCGTCGCAGAACGATAAAAAAAGCGAAAATGCAAAGACACACTCACGCTGGCCAAATACAAATACAACGAGACTGAGAGAGATGAGAGAATAAGAACGAACAGTGTTGGCCAACGGGCGAAATCAACACGGGCATGCGCCGGGTAAGCGTGAGAGAGGGAGAGAGAGACAGAGAGCAGCAAGAGAGTTACAATTTAATGGAAATTAATGTTTAGAACTTTGCAAAGAGGGAGAGCGAGACCGCCCGCTCTCACTCTCTCGCCAATACAAATAAATTTATTTCACTTTTATTAACATGCGCGCATAATATTTATATAAATTGATTACACATTTCAGCTTCCTCCTTTTTTTTCTTTTATCAACCCATCGCCGCTTTTATTCACTTTGGCGAATTAATTACACTGTCTCAGTCCAAATTGTTTATATATTATTTATCAATCGATTTTGTGGGCATGCCAAATTTGATTAGACGCCAGACGCACACTCGTGCACACACAAAGTCACACACACTCGCGCACACAATACACACACAGTTGTGTTTGTTTTGTTTTTGTTTGCGGCTTTTTTTTATCAACTCCTGCGTTTTTGCTGGGCGAAGAAGAGGAAGAACAGCGGCCGCAGCAGAAACCGCAGAATATTTCGATTTTTCGTGCCAGCGGAAATTGAAAAACACCTCCGCCAGTATATCACGCGCCCAAACGTTAACCCGTGTTTTTGCAGACCCTTTCTTTGTTGTTTTTTGCACACACACCTTAGCTTATTTGAACAATTTACATATTACAAGCACGCCGTTCTATGTCTGCTTCTTCTTCTTCTTCCGCGCGAAGAATAATATAGAAGAAATACCAAAAACATGAAGTGAGAAGGTGTCGAATTTGATTTGAAGGGGTTGGAAACTTTGGTGGAAAGTGATTGAAAACTTGGGTGGGGGCAGCTGTGATGAAATCACATTTAAGCAACGTTAAGTGATCCAAAATGTGGAGAAATTAAGAAAACGGATGCTAAAATAAATGCAGAAATTTATTTAATGAATGGTAATTTATCAAAACCTTTTTACATATTCCCGAAAGGTAATGCTTGGTGGGAAACTTTGCTAAATAAAAATAAATAATAAAAATACCTTAGCGCCATAACCAGTGTTGCCCCACTGAAGGCGTGGATTCATCGGTTGACCAGTGCTACCACCTGGGTGTTAATAATAATGTCTTTCAGCTGGGCGGCAATTTAAAAATCCATTTAAAAGGTGTGAAGACGGAGATATAGTCTTTATTTGGCTTTCAATACATTTTATATAAAAAGAGTTAACCTTTTGACAAAAATATAACCGAAAATCATGATACATTGTCAAGGAAATATTAATGTTTTTCTTTTGTACCTTTAAGCACTGAATACTTTGCCAGAAAAAACTCCCAATGGTTATAAGATCTGAAAAACGCCCAATCCAGAATATAATTCGAATTAAAATACAACACATTTTAGTCTAATGTTTATTTAAATTTGCAGGGAATCGAAGAAATAGTCTCAATCAAAATATAAATTACATGAAACACATTATAATTTCGGAAAAAGGGGTGGAAATGTTGTATAAACTCTTCTCTTGGATCCTTTCCCGAACATAAATATGTAATACATGTATATGTAATGTAATTTAGTTGAAATCGTTAAGTTAAACATAAACTTTTCATATTTGGATGTTCCTTTTCCATGCAGCCCTTGCAAACGAATCTTTATCTTATTTGCATTTTTCGGAATTCAGTGGGGAGGGTGGGCGAAAGGATTCCAGAGTCCTCAGGAATCGGGGGGGCAGGTTCTGTCCTGTATTTTCATATTTGTTTGTTTGTGGTCTCGTGTTGTATGTGTGTGCTTCTTACTTGTAGAAAATGGTTCATGTTTTGTTGGATTTCTTTCAAATGTTTTTGCTTCGCTTCTTTCGATTTGTTTTGTTTTATTGGAAATGTGTAATTAGTTTTTAGGCGGCTCCTGATTCCCCATCCTGATAGACATCCGAAACATATTCGACGGAATCGTTGGCATCGTTATCGCCTTCGGAGGAATTCCATTTGAGGCCGTCGGCTTTGGGGGAGCCCCCCTTATCGTCAGGTGACCCCTTCTTGTTGTTACTCTCCGCCTCTCCGCCGGCAGAGTCTTCATCCTCGTCGTCGTCATTGTTGGAGGCCGCCTTGGCGGGTCGTCCGCGCTTTACAGATCCATCGCTGCCGGAGGATTTGTTTGCATTTTGCGCGGGACGTCCACGCTTCTTCGGAGTCACTGCCGTCTTATCCGGCGAGCTAGGCTGCTGTCGTTCGTCCTGGGATCCATCATCACCATCGGCATCCTCGCCATTATCCTCGGCGCTAGCAGCCTTCTCAGGATTGGCATTGGCCTTTGGGCGGCCACGTGGACGACCGGTGGGCACATATGCGGCACCACCAGAGCCGCCGCCTTTGTTCAGAGCTGGACGTCCACGCTTCTTCGGTGGCGGATCTCCTTCGCCATTCCACTCGGCCACAGCTTGCTTCTTCGGCCTGCCCTGACCGCGTCCACTGCGCGATATGTTCAGGTTAACAGCTCCAGTTGCTGGGCGGCCCACCGGGAGACGCTCCTCTTCATCATCGTAGTCGTCATTGTCTGCATCTGTGGTCAAACGAAAGGGGTTGAATTAATAAGCTGAACAAGCTGTACATTTCGGTTAATCTTAAAATGTTAAATATTTATATATAATTTAATTTAAATTACCAGCTTTTTATACTATTTTTGTGTTAATAATAACACAAATTGTTTATATTATTTACTTTGCTTTGATGGTAATGCTACCTATCTTATATAAAAAGTTGTAATGTATTCTACCAACTTTTTTGGCAAGATCTGTAGAGATTTCTTTTGGCGTAAAGAAAAACGTGTTTAAGATATGTAAAGGAAATCAAATAAGTTAACAAATGGCAAAGAACTCGATATTTGTATGCAGGAAACCCTTGAAATTCGATTTCTACCTACTACGGGTAGGGTTTCAAGTAAATCTCAGCCAGGTAGCGTTAATATTTGTGTAAAAACAAACAGAAAGACGAAAAAGGTTAAAAGAAAGGCAGCTAATTACTGGGTTAACTAGCCAGCTGAAGATAAACTACATGAGTTTATGGTTTTTGCATATACAAGAAATTATGTATGTTAATTTATTTTATATATTAAGTAACCTCTACTTTCCGTAGATTAAATTGAAAATTTAGAACAACTTAACATAGGGCAACACTGCAAATGTAACATTCAAAATTCTCTTGGAAACATCCACACTAAACATAAAAATGACACGGAGGGCAAACTTCACGAGCATAAATTTAAATTCAATTTAGAGAATAAAATGAAGATACATTTTCCTCACAAATTGCACTTTTAAAAATACTGCCCATTGTTTTCCCAAAAACAAATACAAAGGTATAATATATGATATAATATATATACAAAATACAAATATAGCTAAATAAATCAGGGAATATAACAATTAATATTGTTATAGAAGATAAATATTAAATTAAATTATTTAATTTAATTTTTAATAATAAAAAGAATTTTAATTTAATTTCCTTCTCATCTAAAAACCCTATTAATTTTCTCTAAGTGCACAAGAGGGCATCGGTCAACTTAAGTACATATACCAAAATGGCGTTCACTAGAATTTTTAAGACTCTATTTCCACATTAATTTGTCTTTAAAGAAATGTCCAAGAAAATAAGAAGAAGAGACCAAGAACGTTACAAGACATGTTTGATTTTGCATACTTTATGTACAGTTTTCGTTCAACTCGAAAGTTACCCGAGAGAGGGACGCAGGGGAGGCGGGAGAAACTTAATTTCTACATTATTCAATATTACCAGATTTTGGCTTTATTCTCTTACCTTCCTCACTGTCACTGGGCTGATGCTTCTTGGGACGCCCGGCCTTGCGCTTTTTGGCGGACGACGGCGTCTTGACGCCGTCACTGGCTGCAGCTCCGGCCCCGCTGCCCCTGGGGCGGCCTCTGCCCTTTGTCGGCGTTGGCGAGGCGGCGGCCTCCTCGCCGGAATCCTCATTCTCGCTGCCCTCGGCATCGTCGTCAAAGTTCTTGGGACTCTTGGGCGCCTTGGGTGGACGACCACGCTGGCCAGTGCCACCGCCGGCATTTTTTGCGGGACGACCGCGTTTTTTGGCGCCACCGGCAGCTGCCGGTGCTCCGCCGCCGCTGCTGCCGCCTCCTGCCTTTGGGGGCCGGCCGCGCTTCTTAACTGCAACTTCCTCCATATCTGGTTGCTGGCCGAGATTTAATTAGCAAGCGAAATAAAGAAAATCCTTGTTCTTTCTGCGCCTTTTTAGCGGCGTCCCTTCGCACACACGCACACTGACACAAACGCGAACTCTCGCACCGACTGAACCGCGCTCTCGCTCGCGCGCAACACACACACACACGCAGGTACAGAGCCAAACGGCTTTTTCTCTTGCTATTTTTTTTTGCGCTTGCCGAAAATTGAACTGGAAAATACAAAGAAAGAATAATGTCGGTGTGTAAATAAACAGCGTGAAAATATGTGGAAAAATATGGAAAAAATTATTACGATTTTTCGGTGGGGGAAAGACTAGCACTTGCCTCGTCAATTTTCTTTTTTCTTTAACAAATAAAACAAGCTATTTCTCATTCGCACAGTACAGTTAAGTGAGTCGGGCAAAACATCGGAGCACTATCGATAGTATCGATGTTAGATATTGTTATCAAACTTCGATTCTTTGCACTATCGATGTTTTCGTAAGTTATATTTATTTTTTCCCCATTTCAATACTCTTGAAAATTAATATAATAGTGAAAAAGAAATTATATTATTAAATAAACATTAATCGTAATAAAAATAGTACTTTTTCAATATAATATGCATGTGCATGGCTTAAAAATCGATAGTATCGATAAAACGATAGTGGAAAACATCGGGTTTTTGCTAGCTCTCACTTTGACTAAGTGTCTTGGATAGCCAGGCAAGTGGGAAGTGGTGTGGTGCCTGAATAGAAGAGCTGTTTTAATTAATTGCACCATAGCGCCCCCTCGTTTTAAAGTTGAAAGATGCCACTCGACTTGACAAACGTAATGTAAAAACCAAAAGTAAAACGTTGCTTACATTGTAAGACGAGGAACTTGCTTGGATTATATTGCCATAAAATTAAACTCTGGGTATAGTTTAAAAGAATGTGCTTAAATTTAGGCGATAGTTTAAGTTTTATTTTAAAATTGTTTATTAAAACATCGAAAAACATTGATTTTGCAAACACTTCAAAATATACTAAAAAGTATAAAATATTCCATAAAAGGGCTGGCATTTTACATTTTACGTACTCTGGCCACACCTTTTGCGTTGACAAAAAAATTTCAGCTGCTTATTTTTATTTTGTCATTTAATTTTAGTAAAACTTAAGTATAAGAGAAGAGTTTTAAGCCGGCAATCAGTGTAAGTGTACGAGGAGCTATGACAAACTATGGGAGCATTAGAAAAACTAACCTGGAAATGGGCGCACTTCTATTTTAGTTAACACGACACACACCTAACACACATGTATATAATTAACAATTGTTTTTTTAACTTTCATCACAAACCACACACACACACACAAACAACGACTGCAGTTGGGAAAGCAGCAACAACAAGTAAACAAGCGCTTTTTCCGTTGACTATGCACTTTTTCTCCCTCCCCCACTTTTATTTGCGCCCTTTCCACTTTGGGCTCCACCTGTCCCCCAACCCACTTGTTTAGACTGTGAAGAAACCGAAAATCAAGTCCAATATCTTTACCCCTTTCGATAGCAACGGCCACGCCGAGCACTACCAAAATCCGACACAAAACCAGCACCACAACACGTCCACATCCGCCATGGCCTCGCCCTCCCAGCACAGTCCGATGACCAACAACAGCAACTCATCCTCGCAGAACGGTGGTCCGGTAGCCATGGGTTCGGTCTCTGGTTTGGGCGCGGGTTCCACATCCGGTGGTGGTGGCAAGTCATCCAATCACTCAACCTCCGCAGCCGGCTCCGAGAACACACCCGTAAGCTATGCACTCCCCGGATTCCATTGCGTCCACTTCTAATCCTATATTGCACTTCCTCCTGCAGATGCTCACCAAGCCGCGTCTCACTGAACTCGTCCGCGAGGTGGACACTACCACGCAGCTGGACGAAGATGTTGAGGAGCTTCTGCTGCAGATCATCGATGACTTTGTCGAGGACACCGTAAAGTCCACCAGCGCGTTTGCCAAGCACAGGAAATCGAACAAGATCGAGGTGCGCGATGTGCAGCTTCACTTTGAGCGCAAGTACAACATGTGGATACCAGGGTTTGGAACGGATGAGCTGCGTCCATACAAGCGCGCCGCCGTCACGGAGGCGCACAAGCAGCGCCTGGCCCTCATCCGAAAAACGATCAAAAAGTACTAGGCAGGCGGCTGCAGGATCGAGGCTTCGTGTCGTGTTGGCTTTCATCCGGATTTAGCGCAGATGCCACAAACTATTTTAAGCTCCAGCGTAGAATAAGAAACAAATTTACCCACGTTCTAGCGTAGTTATAAAGGAATAAAGTATATATTGATTTTACATTTTAATTTTGGGTGAATTTGATTCGTTTTCAATAAATTAATTAATTAATATTGAAACTTTATTAATTTAAATTTCAAAAATATACAAAAAAACTGCGAATACAGAAATAGTTATTTTCGGTATTTTCCGGTAGTCAGTATTTTTATCCGCGTCGATCAAGGTCATACCTTTAAAAATTGTTGATTTTCTGATTGTTGACTTTGGAATTGCTACACTTAAAGTGGTTTTGATTGGGCTAATTAAACGTCCCTGCCATGAAGCTGCCGGTAATGTGTCGCACCTGCGACTCCACGGACACCGACAATCTTCTAAAGCTGGCCACGCCCTCGAAAAAGTATCCGGACAAGCTGCTCTCGGAGATTTTGATGGAGCTCACCGACATCCATGTAAACAAAGCTCTGAAAATTAATTAGGCACCGGAAAATAGCAATTAAAATGAGATATTACTTTCAGGTGGACGCGAGTGGCAGTCAGAAGTTGCCGCAATGTTTGTGCAGCAGCTGCAGCAAGAAACTAGTGGCAAGTTATTGTTTCGTCAAGCAGGCGCTGGTCGCCAACGAACTGCTGATGAAGCACTTGAAGAGCAGCTCAGCGCCGACCGCCACCGACTGTCTGCAGGAGGCGCCTATGGAGCTGTGCGCCGAGCAGCATGTAGAGGTTAAGATGGAGACGGAAGACGAGGAGTGTGGCGACAACGATGTTAATATCACCTGCTCCGAGCTGCCAGAAACGGGCGAACGGAATGTGGAGAGCAAGAAATCCGTGGATCCACTGACCATGATTGAGACAGTGAAACTGGAGGGGGAACCGCTAAGCGTGGAAAGGCCGGCTGAAGAAGAGCCCACCTCGGACTTTGACGATGACGATGAAGAGTGGGTGCCGAATGACATATTGTAAATGCTTTATTACCTTAACCATTGACTTTTGCAGCTCCCTGGACAACCTGCCTCTGAATAAGCGCATTCAAAAGTGGAAGGCTCGAAGTATGTCCGTTTTCAAGTGCCACGATTGCCCGAGAAGTTTCAAGAGTAACGAGTACCTAAAGCGCCATGAAATCCGAGTCCACCAGCCGGAGACCCAATGGTTCGCCTGCTCCCTCTGCGTTCGCAAGTTCAGCCGCAGCGAAGCTCTTGAGGCTCACCTGAAGGTCCACAGGAACTCCAAGCGATCGGCCAACATCAGCGAGCACAAGAAGGCCAAGGCGGTGGACCTGAATCTCTGCAAGCCGCACGGCTACAAGCTTATCGAGTGCATGATCTGTCAGAGTCAGTACAACAAGATTGCGGATCTGCGGCGACACTTGGAAGAGCACCCGGATATTGTCAGTCTGGGCGTTCGTCCAAATGTGGAGCCCAATGAGCTGGCTGAACTGTTCTATCCCGACTCCAAGGACATGGATGAGGACCAATTGATTGGCCTAATCCGCAAGGATTTGGCGTCGGGCATTTATCAGCGTTTCTACTCGATAACCAATCAGAGTGGCTACGAAATGGATCTGGATAGCTCGGAGACGGACAGCGATATGGATGGTGAACCTGAGGATCCGCAGAACAGGAGGCGACGCAAAAATCGCAAGTGCAGCTACACCTGCGAACTATGTCAGGAGAAGTTTCCGCGGAAATATCAGCTCTATGACCACCAACGGCAGAGCCACAGTTGGTCCGACGCTCCACATGTCTGCGGGCGGTGTGATGGACGCTTCGTTAGCCTGCAGCTGCTGCGGCATCACAACGAGTCGCAGTGCCGGAATGCACAGAAGCGCTTTCTTTGCCACAAATGCCCTTTGCGCTTCCGGTGGAAACACAATCTGAAGACCCATTTCCGCGAGCATAGGATTACAGTAAGTTGTGTATATAAATATTATCCGATTAGTACTGACATTCTCATATGTGCTTCACAGAATCAGACCTTCGAGTGTCCCGAGTGTAAGCGGGTCTTTGACAAAAAGAAATCCCTCACCGTTCACCTGCTCAGCGTTCATGCCGAGGAATCAAAGCTCATACCCTGTCAGTGGTGTAGCCGCAAGTTCTACCGACATGATTACCTGGTGAAGCATTTGAAGCGTCATGGACTTAAGGAGCAGGACATTCCACTGGCCGAAACCTTAATAGCGGCCACTTCGCGGCCAAATGGAACAAAGAGAATCACCTGCCGGATGTGCAATCTACACTTTGAGCGGATTGTGGATCTGCGGGCTCATATCCAGCTGGAGCTGAAGCTCTCTTTGTCCCTCCATCAGAGCTACGACTCTCCGCATAATTACTCGATCACAAACGAGTCTGGATTCGAGTTGCAGTTGGAGGATTCGGAGACTGAGGACGAGATGCAGTCGAGCGGCGGCAGTCGCCACGTTTACATCTGCGAGCTGTGTAGTGTGCAGTGTAAGCGGAAATTTGAGATGATCCAACATCAGAGGACAATGCATCGATTTGACAAAATGCCACATGAATGCGATGACTGCATCTTTAAGTGTGTGTCCAAGGTGGGTTTGTAGTTTGCCAGAAGTATATAGGAACTATAATAATTGAATTATATATCTAGAGCATCATGGATCACCATCGGCTGGGGCAGTGCAGCAGCAAGGAGAAGATGTACACCTGTAGCAAGTGCTCCTACAAGTTCATGTGGCCCGAGAATCTGGATCTGCACGTGCGACTGCAGCACAGCGAATCCTCCTCCCACAGCAGTCCCACAGGCGTTAGCGGTGGTGGCAGGCCACGTACTGGACCGGGTGAACTGGATAAGGACGCCGGTGAAGATGGGGTACCATTATTGCAGTGTCCGCATTGCGATCGCACCTACCAGATGAAGTCCCGCCTCAACAACCACATCCGCGATGTGCATGTAAACGGTGATCGGAAACGCAAGGAGGCAATCAAGCGTTTTCTGTGCTCCCTGTGCGGCATGGAGACCCGATCGGCGGCCGCTCTTGTTACACACACCCGGCGTCACACCGGTGAGAAGCCCTTCAAGTGCGATCTGTGCGAGATGGCCTTTCCCAGGCATTCAGAGTTGGCCTCTCATCGCCGAATGCACACCGGGGAGAAACCATTCCATTGCACAGTCTGCGGCAAGGATTTCGCCCGCTCTGACAAGCTCAAGCGCCACATGCTCACCCACAGCGGTCTGAAGCCGCACAAATGTACGTACTGCGAGAAGAGCTATCGCCAGGCGAAGGATTTGAAGCTCCACCTGCAGCAGCACACCGGTGAATGTCCATTTGTGTGTGGCACCTGCGGCGAGCGATTTATACAGAGCAGCACGCTGGAGAAACACCGTCTGATGCGTCGTCACTTTGACGAAGTGGAAGCCTGGCTAAGGCGTCAAAAATAAAAGGGGCTCTTGCAATTAAATAAAGTTTAGGTCTAGCATAAAAAATAGTTTTCTTCCGTAAGAAATGCTTGTTGAAGATGCAGATTATTGAGAAACTACAAAATACTGATTAGAATACAGCCAGCGGAAGTATAAAGAAATCTTAATGAAATAAGCTGTGCAACTCCAACTGATAAGAAACCGTTCTTGATCTTTGGGGGTGAAGAAACCCTAAAAAATTAGTTTCAATATGCCCGATAAGCGGCTAATAGTGGTTTTTAGAAAAGAAAAATCTTAAACACACAGTTTTAATTCCAATTAAAAACTTAATTTATAAACTTTGGGCTTAGGCACTGCATTCCTCTCGATGGCACTTGCTCAATGTATAACCATCATTCCTACAACTCATCGGAGGACGGTTCGATTTTCATCAATTCCGTTTCGAAATGGAGCACTGCATTGGGGGGAATAAGTCCACCGCCTGCTCCACTTGCTCCATAACCCAACTCTGGGGGAACCGTCAACTTCCGCTGTTCGCCTACGCACATGCCAAGGATGCCCTGGTCCCAACCCTTGATCACCTGGCGGGCGCCCAGTGTAAAGGAGAAGGGAGTGCCGCGTTTGTAGCTGGTGTCGAACTCCGAGCCATCATCCAGAGTGCCCTGGAAGGAAGACAGGCGTGGGTGTTCCCAAATGCGAGGTTAAGATTTTCAGGCTCAGCTCTGTTATCAGCTGTTCGCATACCTTGTAGTGGACGTGGACTAGATCGCCGTTCTTGGCCTGACGCTTGCAGTCCTCCACGCGCTTCGTGATCCCGATCTTCAGCTTGGGGTCGGCGGCCAAGGATGTGGCCACGAAGGCGATGAGGACAAGGAAAGTCAGCTTCATCTTATTGGGATTTTCGAATTGGAGCAGCAAGCGGTTGTGCGTATGTTGGTAAAAGCAGTGTGACCGAATGCGATACAGAAAATAATACGTGCGTATTCTGAAATGGCGCTTGTATTTAAAAATTAAATTAACTGCAGGAAAATTCTTTAAAAAAGTAAAGTGATAATCCTAAAAGTTGAATATCTAACAAGAGGAATATAAACATATATATAATGCATAAAATATCATTTATTGTGCTTTTTTGGCGCCTTCTAGTGGATGTATTGAAAACACCACAAAGCGGTCACTCTAAAAGTAACACCCCTTTGCCAAAGCCCGCCAAATTCAAAAGCAAGAACTCGAAACGTTTGCTGAACATATTTTTTTTCTATATTTCACAATAATATGAATGAGTACAGTACAGCTCAGTGTGTGTGGACTTAAAAGTAACTTACGTTCATTAAAGCTCGTTTAAAATAGATACATACATATACATAGCTGGATTACATATTTGACTTTCTTAAAATATAAATGGAGAGCTCCAAATATTTCTCAATTGTTCCGATATTATGGCCCCGGATCGCATTTGCGCCGAGTGCAGAAAACAAAACAAACATAAATTGACATTATAAATATGCAACAGATTATCGAGAGAGATAAGAATGTACGATTATATCACAATAATAAAGGAATACATACATTTTAAATGATATTTTTTTAAAGCCCGACAAATATAACGACGTTTAATTCAGAGCATAATACTAAGTTACACTAATATTTCGTATATAAAACAGCTACTTTTGCTACTGATGACGGTCCAAGCTTGGGATCAGCTTGGTTTCCACTCGATTCTGGGATTGGTTCTTCAGTTATCGTTGGACAGATTTGTGATCTTGGCCGCATACATGCTGGCCACCTTGTAGATAAATTCATACTGCTCCTTGGTCTGCACGGCGCTGGCCCGTCCCCGCCGGACGTAGTACACCAGCTGTGGTATATCCACCGAACGCTTCGGGGTCTCCAGACTACGGATGGCCATGTCTGAGGCAATAATGGTGCCGGTACGTCCCGTGCCTGGAGAACAGTGAACGGTTAGGGGTCTAGGGAGGGGAGGAAAGGAAAGACACAGAACATTAAAAAGCCATGCAAGACACAACTGCTTCACTAATGATTCCTTACCCCTGTTGGTTTCTGGCTGCGCTCCTGCTGGATATATTTCCATTAATCTCATTGCTGGACGTGCTGCCTGCCTCCGATTTAGTACCACCGCCACCATCCGTATCCAACGATGTCTCCAGTGTCGCCGACTTCTCGCGCAGCTCGTTGGCCTGCTCCAAGCAATAGGACTTGAGCGAGGATCGCGCCTCTAGCAGCATGGCTATGATCGGTGCCTCCTCGGCGGGCACTCCAGCCTCGGGCCACTTGTACCAGTAGTGGGTGAGTTCGCGGCTCTCCTCACCATCCACACGCTTCAGGACCAGCGTGGATATGGCGTATCTGTCCTTCACCTCGCGATGCTTCAGTGTCACCTGATAGTCACCATAGCTGCTGTGATTATCCAAAGTGGCCGATGGTGGCAGGTATTCGGCGCACTTCTCGATTCCATTCTCACTGAGATCCGTCGCCTGGATGATCACTCGTGACTGCTGCTCCCAGATCATGCGCCAAAAGTCACTAGTCGTGCTCTCCATCGGTGCCTGGCAGGCGATGTAGTAATTGGGCGCATCTCGGGGGCCCTAAGGGAAAGGAAAGTAAACAATATATAGAGTTAAAAAAGAGTCTTGAGTGTCGGATATTAACATAAAAGGGTTGGTCTTGACTCTGATTCATAGCTTAGGTTGGGCCTTGTTCGTAGATAAGTTGGTTGTACATGGGGACAAGTTTCCGCTTTATTAAAGGTTTATGATTTTATGTCCCTAAACAATTAGTTTTTGGTACAATATTTATTAAAGTGAAATGTTTAAAATACCAGAAAAACTATTATAGTTTTAAAGCCGAATTGATCTAGCCATGCCTTTCTATCCTTTTTAACTTTAAATAGTCTCTAATTTGTAAATTGTTTAACAGAGTTTTCTTTCTTGAAATAAGACGGATCAATTAGTGATATTTACCAATAAATTACTCGAAAAATAATAATAGGAAAATCCTATAGCTTTAGATATTGCACTCATTGGATATGATTGGTTTTATTTTTTATATAATTAAGTGGATTTAGGGCCTATGCTCTTTTCCACTACAGTGAGAGGTCACTAAAAGCGCAATTGGCCAGCATGACTGATGATATAATCATTAATTAAAACCTATTGCGGCTTAAGCCCACACAAATGACTGGCGTTGGCGATGGAGATGATCATGTGAGCAACGCAGCTTGAGTCTCTGATAAAAGACCATAAAAATCGGAAAGCAAAATCGCGAAACTTTTGCTGTTTAAATCTCAACAAGCTCAGGTTATCGGCAGGTGCAACTCGATGGACGCCTGAAATGTTTCGCTCCAATGCATCGTCGCTGTCACGCTTCAATGCAGTTGTGTTTAGAGTGCGTTTTAAGTAAACTGCAAAAAAACAGTAATCACCAGACAGGACTTTTGTTTAAAAACGTATGTCAATTACGGAAACATACTTAAAATCCAAAAAAAGAGGTGACTAAGTGTGAGAACAAAGATAAAACAAAGAGAATGCAATCACTATAATTACTGCAAAGAACATAAAATTAGGCAATTGTCTTGATCTTGAAAAAAAAGTTAAATATCTGATAGCAAGCTAATTGTCAGTATCTTGGGAAGTAATTTATTTTCAAAATTATATCATTTAAACAACTGTGAAATTACTTAAGAATGAACGTACAAGATAATGCGGTATCTGAATGACAGGTAAAAATAGCTCTGAAGACTTTAAAACTGATAAGAATAAGAACACGTAAAATGCAAAGGTTGTCAACTTTAAAAATTAAATTATATGATTTTAAAACTTTTTAAAGGATTTAAAAACAAATTCTGCATAAAATCTGAGGTTTAAGTGTATAGGAAATACTATTGTAAAGCGTCCTTGAATTTCGACTGCGTTTCTTTGTTTTATATTAATAATAAACTATCTTTAAGCTTTTTGCTTTTCTGAGTGATATCTCAGGCAACTGAGAGCGTGCGGGTCATGATGTAAGGGCATTCACACTTCGGTGATCTTGGCAGACACTTTCCCTTTGCAGCAATTACTATTTGCTGCTCTTCGCTCGAACCTATTTGCTCGCATGGTTTGGGCCAACAAAGCAGCCAACAGCCATGGCCAAAACCAGGAGGAGCTGCAGGTGAGTCTCATCGGGCGTGTAATTATTCGAGCGCCATGTTTAATGGCCCTCGAGGGGCTCTCCGAAGATTTCAGTTAGGGCAGGGCGTCATGCAAGGCTCGCCACGTATGCTAAAGCCATTCCAAGATGACTCCAAACATGTGCCACCCACATGTGAGAAAGTGCCTCGATTGTTTTGATGCCTCGATGGATGGATGTATGGATGAGCTGATCCGCCACCGCCACCTCCGTCAACTTGGAGACTTTCTGCCTCGGTTACTTACCCGCACATAATTGGCATTAATGTATTCCGTTTTGTCATCGTCGCCTTGCCGCTGGAGCACCACACGCGTCTCAGGAAGCGGAATCACGTTGGCGTAGCTGCGGTTCCCAGTTCGAGGTCGGTTTACATCGGGTTGGAGTTGAGTCATCATCGGCGGCAATGTTTGTTATTGTTTCGGGGAGAGAAAAAAAGCAGGAAGAGATGGGCAGAGATCAGTATTGTAATTAATTGAACTCGGTTGTGAGAAAGTGAACTCTTAATTGATATAAATACCGCGTGCAAGGAAGCTTTAATCCCAAGAGGGGATCTTAACTTGAATGCTACATAACTTTACTCTTAATCTAATCAAAGCAGATTCATTTAATCAAATTAAGATTAAGATTACACAATTCTGACCTCATGAAACTTTGATAAAACATATCTAGAAAACGTATTTTGAAAATTAATTAAACATAAAAACTTATTTTTCAGCCTATTGTACCTTCTCCCGATCCCTTACTCACCGATTCTTGTCCTCACAACCAGGTGGAACCTCATCAGCTCTGGCTATAATCTGTGGCACATCCCGGAACTCCTCAAAGACATCTGATCGCCTCTCCACAAAGCGTCCCAGTTCACTGGCAGTTAAAAGATTATGCCTTAATGAAGGATCATCAAAGGCAGCATTGCCATAGGTCCTCTTGGATGCCCTCACATCTCTGCCCTTCCTTCGCACACTGCCCAGCACTGAGACATTGTCCAGGGAGTAGGCATCCAGGCTTACGGGACGACAGCGCTGGCCATAGGACGTCTGCTTTTGGCGTTTTCTCATCAAGTAAAGGAACGCCACCAGCAGGATGAGGGCCACCACAAAAATCACACTGACAGTGATGGCTATGATCACATTGACATCCGTCCCATTGCCCTGGGCATTGGTCTGCATGTGATCCAGTTCGTTGGGATAAGGAGCCATGAAGGTGGGCGGTGGCATTTGAGTGGTGGTTGTGGTGTCCAGGGGCAACATGTTGCTAACCGTGCTGCTGCTCACCGAAGGCGATTCCGTGTACTCCTCGGTTGCAGGAGCAACTGTGGTTGTCGTAGTCGTAGTCGTCGTGGTAGTGGTGCTATCGTCCAGGAGACTTATAACCGGGGGTTGCATGGTAGTGCTGGTACTGGTAGTGGTCAAGGGTGCCTCCGTTGTGGTACTGGTGCTGGTTATAACTGCCATCGTTGTCTTGGCTAGCTGCTGCTCTGTATCCTGCTCTTCGGCCACCTGTTGCCCTTCATGGTGCAGGGTCCCCTTTACCTGTTGGCCACCTGTTGCTGCCCCAGCTGCTGCTGCTGCTGTTGTTGCTGGTGTTGGTGTGCTCTCATCCGTGGCAGATGTTGCTGCTGCTGTTGTTGTGGATTCGGGTGCCTCGCCTATGTTGTTGGTCTCCAGCGAGGACTCGTGCTCCTGGCTAAGTTTACCGAGGTCACTGAGCGGACTGCCGGTTGTGGTTGTTGTTCGTGTTGTGGTGGAACTTGTGCCTGCTGCTGGCTCGCTCTCTGTTATGGCCACACTGTTATTGACCGCGTTATCGGTTTTCTCGGCCGTTATTGGGCCTGAGCCCAGGTCTTGGCCGTTTTCGCTCACACTCTTCACTGTCACTGCCTCCAAATTCACTTCATTGCTAATTTGCGCCACTTCCGTTGGCGTAGGCGTAGTCGTAGCTAGAGTCGATGTACTCGTACTTGTGCCCGTAATTGCACTCGTGATTGGGATTGCACTCGTCCCGGTGACGATGATATCAGGCTGATTTGTACTCGTAGTGCTCACCTCGCCATTCAAGTTTTCACTAACAGCAGTGGCTGTTGCCTCGGTTGTCGGTGCTGCTGGTTTTGCCTCGACGACTGTCGCTGTCGTTGCTGTTGCTCTCTGCTGCTCGCTCTCGGGAGTGATGGTTGTGGCGACGATGACGTCGTTACTGGTATTATCTACCTCGTAGGCTAGGTTGTCGTTGTTGTTTATGTTTCTGCTGCTGCTCTCATTGCTGTTAAAAGCCTCGTAAGCTTCGCTCTCATTGTTGTTTGGTTGAATGTTGCTGATGTTACTGGCATTTACAGGAGAGGCTTTAATTGCCATTTCAGTTGTGCTGCTGGTGGTAACATCGGGGGTTTCCGAACTAACAGAAGATGTTGTTGATGTTGTAGCGGGTGTTGCAGATGTTGTTGATGTTGCAGCAGCTGGTATTACACTTGTTGTTGATGTTGCTGCTGGTATTGCATATGTTGTTGATGTTGCTGCATGTGTTGCAGATGTTGTTGATGTTGCAGCAGCTGGTATTGCAGTTGTTGTTAATGTTGCTTCTGTCGCTGCAAATGTTGTTGTGGCTTCTGTGTATGTTAAGACTTCTAGGTTTGCCTTAGGAGCAGTTGTTGTCATTGTTGCCAATGTTACTGCTTCAGATACTGCTGCTGCTGCTGGTTCCGAATCAATTTCAGCTGAAGCATGTTGCACTGTTCCTGCTCCCTCAGTGGTTGCATTAACCAGAGCTGACATTTCACCAGATAAAGCTGTTACACTTGGCAATTCCATTTTAGTTAAAGCCACCCTCGCTGTTACATCAGCTGTTGAGGGTTGCTGTGTTACGGGAATGTTAATTAAAGCCTCTGTTGTGGCTTTTGTCTTATTTTGAGCCTCTGTTAACTTGGCGTTGGCCAATTCGGACATCTTTTTGACCATTGGAACATCCAGTAACTCCATTCGAGACGATGTTGTTGTTAGCTTTTCATCAGAGGAATTTCCCTCTGCCATTGCAGGTGTCACACCCAGAGTGGTTTCATCCAAACCTTGAGTAATTTTACTTTTTGGGTAACTCTCCTCATCCAATGGTTCAGTGGTGGCCTGCGTTGCTCCCTCGGTGGCTTCAAGGGTGGTCCTCACCACAAACTCGGTGCGGTTCTCCATCATTGCTATTTGCTGCCAGTCTAGTAGGTTCTTCTCCTTCACTTGCTGCTGCTCCTGCTGCTTTGTACGGTTCTGCGCTCCGGACACTTCAATGTCGTTGGTCAAATCAGTGTGATTCAAGGAAGGCAACACTGTGGTGCTGGTAACAAGCGGAGGAGGAGCTGCCTTTGGTACCGCCTTCATCCCCGCCAGACTCCAGACCTCTGCGGTATTTGGCAGTGTCAATTGCTGGGCATTTGTGGAATTCTCACTGATGAACTTGGCCCGCTTCTCGGGCAGCTGTCGAATCCCAGGCTCTGACTCCGAAGTCGACTCTTCGATGGCGTTCTCATTGGAGGAAAAGATGGAAGGAGTGCTTGTTGAGAGAGTACTGGTTGTGGTGGTTTTCTTAGTAGTGGATGTCATGGGCAGGGCCCTCAACTTCATGGGTGTGACTGCAGCCAGGGATTGGATCGCTTCCTCAGTGGTTGAGGAGTACTGCATGGATCGACCGTGCTCAGAGGATCGAGTGGTGGTATTTGAGGATCTCTCAGTGGTGCTAGGAATGCCTAAAGTTACAGGTTTCCTTAGGAGATTCTCGGTGGTGGTGCTAAGTGGAGTTCCTGTAGTTTTCTCAGGGATTTCAGACTGTTTTGGGGGTTCTTCCGTGGAAAGAGATTCTTTGACTTCTGCCTGCTGTAGTTCTTTAGGCTTTGTGGTTGTGCTTGTAGCTTCGTTTTGTTCGTTCTTCAAATGAGTCTTAGGAATTATAGTTGAGTCTTCCGTGGCTGGTTGAGCAAGGACTTCCTTATTTATTGAGCTTCCTTCGCTTTTCTTCTCCAACTGAGTTTCCTCCTCCTTTGGTTTGGGTTGCTCTTTCTCCAGTAGACCATCCTTGGAGCTACTGATTTCAGAGATTCTTTCCTCTGTAGGCTTAGTCTTTAAGCTCTCAGTATCGGTTCCAGGTTCATCTTCCAGCTTTGTTATAGCTTCCTGGGTAACCCCGAGGACTTCTTCCTTTGCTTCATTTGCTGCACCGACATTCCCGCTTTCCCTGGCCGGCGTAACAGTGTCAGGGTCAGTGGAAATGGATGTGGAAGCCACCGCTTGATCCAACTGAGCGGTTTCTCTTTTCGCAATGAAACGTGCCTGCGTTAGCATTATGGCCAGGGCGAGCATAAAGCCGCCAATACTCAGCCTGCTACCCATACGCATTGTGTTTCTTTATACCTGTGTTTCTATAGTCTTGGGTGCCCCTCTCTGGGTCAAGTCAATTCCACGTTCGACTGGGCCTCAAAATCTCAGTTTGAGCTTGAGTTATTGCAGTTCTTTTTTGGCTTGGTTTTTCATATTTATTTTGAGCAATTTGCAACCATTTGTTCCTTGTTTATTCCTCTGAGATTAAAGGGGCCATTTTACCTGTAAGCAAAAGAGGGAATACAAATTAGTTTCTAGGTAAAAATTTCTTATTAAATTCATATTGTTTTTCTGTAAAAGGTATGACATTTATAGCTACCCAGAGTACGCTGAAATATTCCCTGGAAAGTGAGTATAAATTTCCCTTTCTATAAGTGGAGCTCTCCATAAATATAATTAATGTCATTAAGACACGTTTTGCATTCCACCGAATATGAGCGCAAGTTCAAGGCCAAAATACCTTGATTAGTTGAGTTAAATATAGTTCGATTATGGGTAATAAATAAGTATAGAAGTTGTACTTCATTAACTTCTCTATAAGGTGTTATTGAACTCGTATTTGGTTTGCCCAAGTTCAGTGTGGCATTTTCCCACAACAAATAATGTCAAGGAAGCCGAGAGAGAGGTTCATTGTACCGAGTAACCAAAAATAGTTCATATCAAAGTGTTTACCATCTGTGCACCCACAGCTCCTCCATGGATTTCGAGTGAACTCTGAGTTGCGAACCATTCATAAGCCCAATCGGAGTCATGGAACTAGCAAAATGCACAAGGTTCATTCAACCACGGCCTCTGTCAAAAGTTGCCCATGGAGTTGAAGTATTCGAACCCAACGGCAAACAGAGCCACCCAATAATAACTCTATATATATAGGGGAGGCGTGAGTTTACCGACTTCATTCACCATGGTTATCGCTGGGTTTGTTATCTACCGATCCGGGCAATGCCATGTCAATAGTGCATGCCACTAACCCCTCCAGCAAGGTGGAGCACCAGGAGACCCCGAACCCCCAGAACCACTGGGGAAAATATGCCTACCCCCATAGGTTGTTGGCAATTAGTGCTAAAAGCCCAGAATTCTGTGGTGTTGGAAGCTCTGGTAGCTTGTCATTATAATGACGTTACCCTCTCACACGGTGGTGCGATATTCAGGTGTGGCGCTACCCTCATATCATACCCCATTGGGGCCCTTAAGGGGTTGCCCTCTTAAATAGTGCTACCTTCTTGCCTAGAATACTCTATCTTAGCTTTTCCATTCAGCTGCCTTTTGGCCATGTGTCCGGTGACTAATGCCGCTCTGAAAATATAGATATAGTTGGGCATCTGTATGTGTATGTGCCTGAGCTGATAAGAATTGCCAACAAAGCCAGACGGGGACAAAATCACAGCTACGGGTATTTTGTAATTTTTTTTATATATTTTTGAATGTCAACGTTGCTGCTGCTGCTGCTGCTGATAAAAACAAAGCAGCAAAAGTAAATTGTTATCGTTTATGTTGGTTATGGCCGAAGGTCAACAGCGATTGGTAAAAGGGCAGCGATAGCCAACGGGTAAGGGAATGCAATATTAACTTAAGTTAAGTAAATAAATTAAATTAAGTGGGGACTTTACGAAAAGCTCTAAAGCTTGCAGTTGGGTTTATTTTTAAATTATATAAATAAAAGTTAAAAAGCACACAGAAACAAAGAAGAGGGAAGAAAATTAAAATTAAACTAAATATATTAAATAATATTAATGCTATCAATAAATTTTATAGCTGCTGATCTTATGGTATCTGATATGGACAAATTGAAAAGGGCTAAATCGAGTGACCTGGTGATAAGGAAATATAATTCTTTAATAAATACTTAGGTGAATTTCATATATTTTTATAACTAATTTAATGGGTTTAAGGGAGTTCCTATTTTACTAATTTTTTATAGACAATAAAATTTGGTTTGCACAATTTTCTATTTTTCTATATCTTTGCACAGAAAATTCATCATAACTAAGCCAAAAGTGCATTAATTTCAACTCGAAAAGCTTTTCTATGCTACTTTTTATAAGATTAACAAATTTGTATATTGAGTTTGTATTTTTGATTTTTTTTTTGTCAAAAAAATGATCTAAAAATTAAAAAAAAATTGTTTCTTTCGGACATGGCTAGATCGATCAAATTTTTAATGCTGATCAAGAATATATTTGATTTATAGGGTCGGAAATGATTCCTTCACAGGCTGACAAGCTTCTGACTAAAATTAGAATACCCTGAAAATATTTAAACATTTATTTTTACAATTTTAATAATTACATTTTTACCCAGTAGCGACACCAACCATCACGTTCAATCATCATTTGTTATAAAGCCTAAAAGTATGCAAACATTTTCATAATCTACTCCCACGTGCGTTTGCATCGCTCCTACTAAAGTAAACTTAATGCTTGCCTGCAGAATAGGTTTCCCCCGATCCCATCAAAAGACAAAAAATCGATCAAGAAGGAACCAACTTGTGTTACACTAAACCACAGCCCAGGGCCAGGGCCGGAGCAGGCAGGCGAGAGACCGCAATTTGAACCCTCCACTTAACCCAAATGGAACCCACGAGCCCTGGGGCTCTGCAAAACGTGACTCCAACCAGGGAGTCAAGTGCTGCACCATGGCATTGCCAGAGAAAGGTGGAAATGGTACGGGACGAGAGGAGCTGGTGCATGTTCCAAGATGTAAACAGAAATCAGCATTAGAGAAACGAGGCTCCCGCTGGGGAGTCGACTCATTTCCGCTTCAGCAGCACGCACTGAGGATGAACGAATGGCTTAGAATACTCCGACTTCAGTGAAGGCTCTCCTCTTGGTCCAACTTTGAGCTCAAGATTCCAGCCATGATCGAGGATGATCGCTAAAACCAGTTTTCTTTTGCTTCGGTTTCGATTTGCAATTATGATTTCACTTGCATTGCGATCGCGATCGCTATTCCGATACTGGATAAATGTAGAGAATGGCTGGCGATCGATCTCTGGTATATCTTAATGATCTCGGGGAGCGGGAGCTGGAGCCAGACCAGGCCAAATGATTGCTGCGGTGGCTTGTGATAATGACAGCCATCTGGGTAGTCATGACTTGGATCTGCTTTTATGATTGATGGCCTGGAGGGGTTAGGTTAGAGCGATGAGTCTATTGGCGGCTTAGGATCGTTAGCTCAAAGTATCGATTGCTGGGAATTTTCTACAAGTTTTTAGATTTTAAGTTAATCATTAGCCGGAAAATCGATTAAATGAAGTGATTTTAAGAGCTTAAAATACGATTAAACTAACTGCCAGAAGATCGTTAAGTTGCATTAAGAGATTATGGAAAATTTGATACAATAAGCCTTTATAATATGAAGATAATTTAATGTTTCATCATACCATTAGCTTAGCTTGGCTTTCTATTATTAAAATGTTATTGTAACCCAAGTTTTCCAGAACAAACCAAAACTAAATTACTCTGAAGCTTAACCCAAATGACGGACTCTGCACGCAGACTCCCGGCCCCAAAATAGAATTCTGAAGAATGCCAACAGTTGGCTTGGATTATGGCAGACACAGATACTCGTGCTCATAATTATCTATATAAACAGTATACTTCTCCAAAGCTAAGTTCTATGTTGGAAGATGAAAAGATGAAGATACTTATCAATAATGAATAGCGAGCGGGACTTGTTGCGCTCTGAAATCAGCCAAGTGTGATGGAGAATGCGACGCCTGGCACGCTCAAGCGATAACTGTAGCATTAGTACGATATATATGTGTATATATTTGATTTACAGAAATAACGGTCTAGAGACAAAACTATAAGTATCCACGGAAGAAACTCTCATTCGAACTCAAACTCAATGCTATCTCCATTATTCTGTATTTACGAACTTCCCATGCGTATCATGTGTTGTATCTTCATAATGGGGGAAGTAGCTTCGAAATTTGCTGCCATTCATGCGATTTGAAGATGACTCATTTGCATGCCATTTGCTTATATCACGGTCTATATTTGTATACAACGAATTCGTAGTCAAATTTCTTTATTTTTTTTATACGAAAATCAGAGGCGATAGCTCTGGCCCGAAGCTGAACTTTCAACGCAATTAAGTTTCTGAAAGAAATCGAAAACCCGCAATGAAATCGAACCCAATCGCAGAGATTCAAAGCGGTCAAATGCTTCATCAGCATCAGCGGATGGATGGATATATGGAAGCTTTGATACATTGAGAGAAACTAAGAAAGAATTAAGGTTACAGTCAGAAAAGGTAATAAATTCATTATCATCTTCAGTATCTATAACATTACCTCAACTTAAACAAAATATAAACATATAAGCAAATTATTTAAGATTAAAAAAGAGTAGTAGTATCTTCTCGATCTTTAGTATCTATTCTGTCTGTAGTATCTACTACGTCTCTGTAGTATCTTTGTGTATCAAAACGAAGTATCTTTTGCAGTATCAAGATCATGTAAAACGTATATTTAACTCTTCACAAGATAAGCAATTTCGATCTTTAAAAATATCTGAGTAACACCTGACTTTTTGCACTGTGCAAGTAAATTACCACATTCATCAATTTTGACCTTGTTGGCCCTGGCCATTGGCGTTTATTGAACCAGGCAGCAAAAATATATATATACATATATTAGACCGTTTAAATAGCAAATGAGCTCAGGCATTAATGTTTTGTGTCTGTGTTTGGAAAAACTCACGATCTCTGGCTACTTGAATTGTATATTAATTCCATTTTTATAACACTTTCCACCAGCATATGCTGGGTTTCCATGAGCTTATAAGCAGGCAGATGCTCCTCATTTGTTTTGCATAAAAAGTCTAAATAATTTAAATGGTTTACATGTGGCCTAATAAATATAGAAGCTAAAATATAGCTAAACAACCACTAAATTGAAGAGAATCGGAGGAGCTTGATGTCCACGCAACATGCAAGTTTAGGCCACCTTTTGAATATGTCCAAGCCTTTGTCCGCTGTCTTCGCTTATCTTTACCTGAGTATCTGGATTTGTATCTGTATCTGTGCAATTACTCTAATGACAGGCGCATGTGCACATACACATACTGTGTGTAGTATCTACATGTATGTCAGCCGCATAATTGCCCCTAATGCAATTGAACAATTAGGCAAGCGCTGCAGCTCAAGCGCGAGATACGAGCACACACAACAAATGCAAATCAAACACACAAATGTTTGCACTAGAAAAAAACGAGTTA